GCCAGGATTCAATCCCAGGTTGAACTACCACTGTTCAGCAACGTTACAGCTTGGCCGCTGTTGTGCCCTAAATGTAAATTCAGACTGATTCTTGGAAGTACATTTCAACAATAAAGGATTTCCAATACAGACCACTTTCTAGCTTTGTATTTTTTTTTTTTTTTTTTTTTTTTTTTTTTTTTTTTAAATATATTCCTGCATATGGATACGTATACTTAAAAACTTAAGGCTCTTTGGAGGCTGTCCTGGTCACAGACGCAGGGTGAGTCTGCTTCACCCTCATTCAGTATGCTCCATAATCGAATTACCTTTTAGTGAATTATTTAGGTGCTGTTAAGGTTATCTTCATCTCCCACATGCTAATAATTGCTCTTGTATGTAGGAAAATTAAACTACTAATTTTTACACAAAATGGCAATTAATATGACAGTTTATAATTATATAATTTATCTATACAAAAATTGTCTACTTAACACTCTATGCCCCATTTCATCTTGTCTCAGAATTAAGAATTAAACTAAATTCGGCAGCACAAACAGGCCATAGAGCACCATGGCCGGCAGTGCCCTGATATCTGCTTTCTAGACCATGGGCTCCGGGGTACTTGTGCATCCTAGCCTGGACAAGATCAGAATTAAGAATACAACTAAGAAATTCAGAATTCAGAATAAACTTTTTTTTTTTTAGCCCGAAAGGCATTAGCCTAGGAGGGCTATTAATTTCATTTTGGCATTTTGCATTGAAAACTTTAAATGAGAGTTCACTTGTCAAATTGTTGCAGCCAAATATTATTATTGCCCTGTGTTATACTTATAGTGGCGTGGTGGTTATGTGCTTGGTGTATATCCTTGAATTGACACGACTCCTTTTCTTTAAACATAACCTTATTCACACACACCATAACTTTAAACGCAACTGAAATAACAGAACGAAATAACAAAATCTACTAAACTAAAATTCAAATATCCTATGCTCCAGCTATGGGCGAAGTGAGAGAGTTCACTGCCGCACTAGCAGTTTTTACATAAACCACATGATGTGGATTGGCTGTGCATGCAGTCGAACATTAGATTGCCACAGAGTATCCACCCAGTGACACAAAAGGGATTGGCTGTAAATTTCCAGTTTAAGATATGCACATTCAAACAACAATTATACTTTAAAATTGCACGTACAAAAAGAAATACAAATATATGAATAGTAATAATACATTTACAATTCTGATTAGAATATATACCCATACAATGCATAACTTAGTTAAACAAAAATAATGAAAAGTTAATAAGCATTTTATATAACTCTCAATACGTATGCAAAAAATAATAATAAAAAAAAAATATCTAAACACTGTAACATTTGCAGCAAACCACGAGAGAAAACTTTAATCATATTACAGTAATTAGTTTTCAGGAAAATGAACACAATGTCCACTTCGGGTAACTACTTGGTTTGGAACAATTTTTAAGTCTTCACAGACTTCCTGTGGAAACTGAGGAATTACAGGTGAATTTATACATTCTAACATATACACTGGTTTCAAACGATCGATTATAACTGTAATCTTTTTGTTATTTACCTCAATAATAAAATTTTTATCCATTCATTTAACCACGGTATGAGGACCAGTGTAAGGTGGAGTTAGAGGTGGTAAACAGAATCGATATGCAGAAACACATGAGAACAGGTTTGAAGTGCTGGATGTACATAAATTGGTGATTGAACATGCCTAGAGGTTGGAATAGGTCTAACTAAATGCATGACTGATAAGTTGTGACACATAAGATTCAGTAGGCGATACAGTATTTGTAGCATTCAGCATATCTGACGGTAATCTAAGTGTAGTACCGTAGACAAGTTCAGCACAAGCAGCATTTATATCTTTCTTAATGGCAGATCTAATACCCAACAGAACAATAGGCAGAATTTCAATCCATTTTGCTTGTTATGAGCCATTATTGAACTTTTAAGTTGCCTATGAAATCTCTCAACAGTCCATTGGACTGAGGACGATAAGCAGTAGTTCTTATGCGATGTGTACCCAAAATTTTCATTAAATCCTTAAATAAGTGAGATTCAAAATTTCGGCCTTGATCAGTTGGTATTGATACCAAGCAGCTAAATCTTGCTATCCAGTTATGCACTAACACTTTGCAAGTTGTCTGAGCTGACATGTCGACAGTAGGTATGACTTCTGGCCATCTGGTAAACCTGTCAATAATTCTCATGCAATAATGGTTACCTTCAAACAGTGAAAGAGGACCTATGAAATCAATATGGATATGTGCAAATCTTGCATCAGGCAAGGAAAAGGTACCCAATGGTGATTTCGTATGCCTATGAATTTTAGAACGTTGGCACTGTAGACATGATTGAACTGCAGTTTTAATAAATTTCTTCATATTAGGCCAAAAATAGGGCTTAGTAATTAGCTTTGTTGAAGTTGAAATAACAGCATGAGAAAGACAGTGAATCTTCTGAAATATTTTAGAGTGAAAAGATTCAGGTATGAATGGTCGAGGTATACCTGTGTCCATATTACAGTAAAGAGTAACATCTTCTAAAGGACAGTAATGTTTCTCAAGTTTAAAAAGTGGTGAAGATTGAGATAAGTTATTTTGAATTTCAGAGTCTTGAATTTGTGCTTCGGATAACTTTTTATAATCAATGTATTGATTATCAGATACTGCATTTATTTCTACCCTAGATAAGGCATCAGCAACGATATTGCCACGACCTTTGATGTATCGTATTTCAGTGGAAAACTGGCCAATAAAATCAAGATAACAATGTTGTCGTGGAGAACACTTTTCGGGCTTCTGCTGAAAAGCATTTATTAAGGGCTTTTGGTTAGTGTAGATTGTAAAGACCTACCTTCAAGCATGTGCCAAAACTTCCTAATAGACAAATAAATTGCCAATAGTTCTCGATTATAAGTTGACCATTTCCTTTGACTTTTGCTGAGTTTAACGGATGCAATGGGTTCCCAAACTGAATTATGCAGTTGCATTAATGAGCTACCAATCGCAATGTCCGATGCTTCAGTACAAAGTTTCAAAGTCACACCAGGAATTGGGTGTTTGAGAAGGGTTGCCTCAGCAATTGTCTTTTTTGCATTTTCGAATGCTTTCTCGGCTTCATCGTTCCATTCGAGAGGATATTCTTTTGTTTTGCTTGGTTGTGAAGGTTTCCTTTTATTAATGCGGCCTTCCAATAACCTATTCAAGGGAGCTAAAACATGTGAAGATCTTGGGACAAAAGTAAAAATTAAATATGCCAAGAAATTTCCTTAACTGAGTTAATGTGTTTGGTTTAGAAAATTTTTGAATAGCTTCTACCCTCTCGGGTAAAGGTTTTAAACCCTGTTTAAATACATGAAAACCCAAAAATTCCAAAGAAGTTAAACCAAAACTGCATTTAGATAAATTAAGTCTTAACCCATAATTACTTAATCTTTCAAAAAGTGCTTTTAAATGTATCAAATGCTCATTTTCGTCTTTGGACAACAATGTCTTTTGGTCAATAAAAGCAAATACTCCTGGTAGCTTGCGAGTTACGTCATCAATAAAGCGTTGAAAGGTTGCAGCTGCATTGCATAAAACAAATTGCATTCTTGTTCTCTCAAAAAGTCCAAAAGGAGTGGCAGTAGCCCGTTTTATGGATATCAGAGGGATTAATTGGAATTTGGTGATATGCTTTAACTAAATCTAATTGAGAAAATACCTTTTTTCCATGTAACTCCGCTGCAAAATCGCAAATATTGGAATATGATGCTTATCCCTTACTATCTGAGCGTTTTAATCTCCGAAAATCTCCCACAGGTCTCAATTCGTTTGTGCCTTTTTTTGACATCATGTGAAGAGAAAAGTAATTACTTTTGGAGGGTCGCATGTGACCTAAATTTATCATTTTCTGAATTTGATGCTTAGCAATTTTTAATCTATCTGGAGAGAATCTCCTTGGCTTACATGAAACAGGATGACCAATGGTTTCAATGAAATGCATAGTATTATGCTTAACAGTTCATTGAGATCAGGAAGCTTTGACAGGGAAGGATAGTTAGACAGTAATTTATCATAAATACAATTTGTAATAATTGTTTTAACAGAACATAAATGTGTGTTAATTACACTGCAATTAATTTTTAAATGTGTTTTTAAATAAACAAGTTTTTTGTTCCTTAAATCAGGTAATAAATCAAAATAATGCAAGAAATCAGATCCAATAATATTTGTTGACTTTTTACACACATTAAAAGTAAAATAAAAATTACTACGAAGTCCAAGGTCAATACTTAACGCTTTTTGTCCATAAATTAGAATAGGGTACCATTTGCTGCAGATCATAATAGGTGTTTGACACGCTTCCTGTCTGGTTGCTGAAAGAAGACTGACATCTGAGCCAGTGTCGCACAAAAATATTCTATTCAATTTCTTGTCTCTAATGAAAAGGCGACGAGACTCAGAGGGTAAAGCGCATGTCGCCACTACACTTTCCCTGGAATGTACATGGTAGGAACACACTTTTTAGCTTTGTCATTAAATTTATAATGATACCAACAATAGGAACAGTTTGAAGCAGCTTTAGCTGAAGGGCTTTGCTTCCTGTTATAGCAATTTTTGGAAACACTGCATGATCGTCGTAGTTAGATGTACAGTTTAACTAAACAGAATTTTTTAAGAATTATATTCCAGGTTACCCTTTAATTTTATATACAAAGATATTTTCTTCGGTATGTCTCTCATAATTACATACACGGTCAATGCTAGGTTTCTTTTTTTTTTTACCAGATGCCATCCCTGGAATTATTAAATTTTTCCACCCTGCATCTACCTAAATTTCAATAATTTTGCAGTTACAAATTCTGCTATCTAATGTGGTCCCACTGCCTCTGATACCAGCCCTGGTTACAAGCGTATGCTTTTCAACTCATAGCATACTAATTTTCATTCACAAATATTCAATCAACAAAACATTACAAGGAATCAATAATCAATAGTTACCTTAGGATGTTATACTCTTCTGCAGTACAGCATTCTTTATAAGGAGTGCTGGGAACCTCATCAGCAGTTAAATAGATTTCAGGAACGTCTGGAGTAAGTATCATGGCAATGCTATCAGTATAAGAATCCTGTAATTTAAAAGTAATTAAATTGAAGTCAATATTTAATTAAATTTAAGTCATTATTTTACTTGGAACTGGTCAAAGAAATATACTGTATTAATATATTGTATATTTACAAATATGTTTCTGGATTTAAATGAAAATAAAATTTTCTTCTATCTATGGCTTTCTTTGATTTTTAAAAAATATGTTTAAACGACAGTTAGAATAGCATCACTAAAATAAATACATATTTTGTTAAAGGTCTGAAATGATTTATATGAATATAAACTGTAATAATTAGGATAAGTAGCATGCATCAGGTCTCAGAATTCATAAAATGTCGTCATCTGAACTCAGTTCCATATGCTATGAGCTGCACAATTATTAAATTACACACCAAAATGGTACATTTATATTATGCATTAACTACATATTTTACAGAATCGATTATACATGTAAAATTAAAATTATGAGTATAATAGAAGTCTTTGATACCTGCTCACTAAAGCTCACCACCTTAGAAATACTCTTTATTTTCTGCAGCTTCCACTGCTTTACTTTCTAAAAATATAAAAAGGCTGAAGGGACTACCCCACAGAACCATTGGTGACATATCACAGATTACTAGGTAGTTACACTATTTTAAAAAAATTACATTACAATCAAATATTACAGAAATAAAAATTCCTATTGTTAAGCAAATAGAAGCAAAGGTTTGATGATTCTCAAAATGTAATAGTTTGAAGTAAAATAGAATCTGAATAATCCGAATCTGTGGATGCTTGTAATCTGCACTAAAATTTAATGAAAAAAAAACTCTTTGGAAAATTCAGCATGGTAAATTTAGAGGCAATTTTTTCCTTACATAAATGCCAATGATCATTCCTTGTATAAACTTGTCGAAAGCTGGCAGTGTCAAAAGGCTTGTGAACATGGTCTAAACAAGACATAATTTATTGCTGGACAGTCTTGAGATACATATTCTCAATCACACATCATTTTGGGTATGATAAACCTTAATTTTGTATAGTTATTCACATTGTTAGACAATGGACGAAAGAGAGTGGTAAATGACACATGTTATCAGAACAAAAGGAAAAAGGGAAAGTAACTGCACATTTAATAGCAGCAATATTTATAAAGTTGGTTCTTTACTGAAATTTTGATCTGTGATTGGATAAAAGATATGTGCAATGTGCATTACATAAGATGGCATGCAGCAGCTTAATTTTGAGATGATGTGAACTTCCTGAACTAAAACTTATTAACAGTTTATGACTTTAGATTTATATATTATAAACAATTTGTAGCTTTAGGGCAGGAAGAGGAAGTAGCCAAATTAAAATGATAAATAAAAGGGACTATTGCTAAATTTAAGATAGTAGCTTTTTTTCATATATCTTGCACATATATCATTCATACCTTCTCAGACATGAATTCAATGGGATTTCAAACAGAGAAATTTTCTTTCAATAAATTCAAAATTTCAATTTTAGTGCCTTTTTAGCAGCTAGTAGTGCTATTACTCCAACTGTATGCACAAAGAATGTATGGTAGAATTAGCATATGGATTCAATTTATGTAAAATTATATAGCTGGGGTTCTTTAACAGTGTATTTATTAGTTTTTCTCATTTTTCAAAATATAAAAATTATTTTGAAAGTAATTTTGGGGGTGAATATGCAATTTTTTCACTTAAAATATTGATGCATTTTGATGAAACACATACCTTTCATTTCTCTTTTTATCTTTTACTTTTGATATTTTTTCTTTGCATAAACATACTTTAAAAATATAACAGTACTCAATAAATCCCAATGAATAATTAAAAGTGCAAGAATTGTATATGTTTTGTACAAAAACTGTACAAATAATAATACAAAAACTGGAAAGGAGAAAATGAAAACAAAATTAGGAAGGAATGGTGTATAATTCACAACCCTTTGTCTCAAGGTAATGGAAATTCTATTTACATTACACTTCGAAAAATTCACCATATTAAGGAATTAAAGAGAAATGTTAAATTATTCATACTTGTGGAGAAACAGTGCTTAATTTCTCTTTTTACATGTTTGTAGTTTTGAAAAGGGGACTTTTTCTTAAATAACACATTTAAGAAAAATTTTTGGAGCTAAGATTATACTTTACAGGAAAAATACCTTTGATTGCACTTCAAATTTTTCTACACTATTACATTCTCTGAAGGGGGAGGGGAGAATCCTAATTTCACATTATTGTTTTTAAAACATGTTTTGCTTGATATGATCCAGTTTACATAATTATGAATTAATCTAACAAGGTACTCTCTAGTTAAAATAAAAAATCTGATGTGTACACCACATGACTTCCTTGTACGGAATATTAAATTATACGCATTTTTTCTTGCATTTCATTTAAACTTATTAGATTGATTAAACCTACTTCGCCGACAGCGCATAAACCACAATAGAATAAATGCATTCTTTAAAATTCACTTTGTTTACCATAGCGACACTCTGGCGCTAGGTTTACTTAACAGTATTATATTTCGTTCATATTATAACTCAGAATGCACAAAATTTATATCATTTAAAGAATTATCTAATCGTTGCCACATGTTCTATTCAAATACTATAATAAAGCTAGAACAATGTATAAAAGAAATTAAGCAAACAAAACAAAAAAGAAACAGTTTTTCACAGACGATTGAGTATTTCTCATTCAATTAATTCAGTTTTCACTTTGCGACAAGGCAAAAATACATAAAAACTCAAAATATCTATATTAAAAATTATGAAGTAAATCTTATCCACTTATTTCCTCGAAAAAATTCCAGAAAGGATTAAGCATGATTTAAATAATAAATGAAGGCGTTATCTTTGTTGTTGCGAAGCTAAGTTTCTCTAGATTGGCAACAAATCCGCTACTCAGCTGTTTCAAATGTAAACAAATGTACAATTTACAAACATATAAGAGCAAAGAAACTGAGATCACTGAGCTGGGTAAGAGAGTGGATAAAAATATAAATCTATTTATATACGTTTGGTGCGGCCGATTGCAAACAAAATACGAGGTGCACATCTACATGTTATAGCAGTCCTATGTACAAAATTTCAACGTTCTGAGGCTACTTGTTTTTGAGTAATGCGAGATACGTACGTACGTACATACGTTCGTACAGACGCCACAAAAATTATCTTCAGAATTCATTTTAAAGCAGTTTTATAATTTTTTTGGTGGAAAAGAGTGTTTTATTCTGTCCTTACATACAGATATCATGGAAATACATTGTAAAATTGCATTTGAAAGAGTTCAAAATGGGATATTTTTGTCGAAATATGCTGCCTGAAACTTTTCGCGATTACAATACTTCCTTTTTACTTCGTACAAGGAAGTAAAAAGATGAATACTACAAAAAAATCCTTAATTAGCAAACTTTAAACATCATACAAAAACAAAAATGCTGAGAATGTTGCTCCATGTTCAGAAACCAGGCTGTGCACAAATTTTTTGCATACAGATTACATACAACCGACTTCATGCTTGTAATTTCACTTTAAGAAACTAACAGAAGTGTGCATTATGCACTATTATTAAATTCATTTTAATACTTACCATAAAACAATTTTGAAAATTAAATTAACTCCCTACAAGTTATGAAGTAGATAACATTAAATTACAAACATAATTTCTTTAAAAACATGTATAAGTGTATTTTACACTAATAACAGTCACTATTTTAGAGATTTACATGATTATTATTTAACTTATTTGATATTTATTTAAACACAGTCAACTACTATTATAATCACAATGTAAGAATATTTTGCAGATTAAAATAACTGATTTGTAAACATACAATTTATTTCCTTGGTTTTTTGAAAGATACTAGAATAATAAACTGTACCATAAAAGATACAACACATTTGTGCTTTTTTTAAATCTGAAATCTTTTCAGCTATGTTAACATCTAATTTATTTATGTCTATTTGCTTTTCTTTAACTATTCTTCTAAGTTCATTTGCTTTGATACACAAATCAATGTTCATGCTGGTCTCAGCTTCATCTGCTAAAGCATCTACTTCTTCATTAATATCTTTAATGTCCCTTTGAAGAAATTTTTTCTTCTGCTTCATATAATCAATTTCTTCCTCAATGATATTTTGTTTCCTCTTTGAATTTTCAGATTTAGTTAAAGATTTTTGTTCTTCTAAATACTGCATATATTTAGACCTTGCAGAAGCTGCTGGTGATCTCATTTCTTTATTAATTTCGATATTAAGAACACCTCCAGAAAATTTTATGTAATCAAATACTGTGTGTTGAAAAATGTATGATGAGTCACTTAAATTTTCAGTTTCAATTGCTTTATTTACAGAGAAGCCCCTTTCCACAGAGGCCTGTCTATGTGACAAGATAAGAATCATTTTCACTATTTTCCATACTTTTGAATAGTGAAAATCATGAAAATAAGAAGTGAGAAATGTGTCAAGAGAAAGATTTTGAGGATCAAAAGTAGAAAATTCATGTAAATTTGTCTTAACTACTTTGTCTAGAAACTCTCCAAACTGCAGCAGAATTTCATCCCAATCATCTTATAAAACATGTTTATTCTGCATTAATACCGTTAGAACTATTTTCATTTTGTTCTGGGCTTTTTCTGGACTTTTAACCATCAATCGCGGGTCTATACAATGTGCATTTCGAATAAGAAAATAATTTATTGGACATTTAGACATTAAGTGTTGTACTATTGTTAAGACACATTGTTGACCTTCTTGTTTCAATGCAAAACTTTCAGCTTGTGAAATGTCTTTCTTGCGGCATTTATCATTCATTAACTGCTCAGCAATGAATCCCAAATAAACTTTACTTTTATCATTATAACAATTACAACAATTTGGATCATTAAAATTAAATTTATAAAGATTTTCTGCTTTAGTTATTTTTGAATATTCTAGTTTCAAAATTTTAAAGTGCTGAAGGCAATCATTTACAAGTTTTAAGATATCTTCAGCAAAAAAGGGAATAAGTGGTTTATCACT